CTACAATGTGATTTTCTGGATTTTTTTTTCTCATTTTGTCTGTCATAGTTGACGTGTACCTATGATGAAAATTACAGGCCTCTCTCATCTTTTTAAGTGGGAGAACATGCACAATTGGTGGCTGACTAAATACTTTTTTCCCCCACTGTATATATGCACATGTACATATCTACAGTGGCTTGCGAAAATATTCACCACCCTTGGCATTTTTCCTATTTTGTTGCCTTACAACCTGGAATTTAAATTGTTTACACAACATGCCTACCACTTTGAAGATGCAAAATATTTTTTATTGTGAAACAAACAAGAAATAAGACAAAAACTGAACTTGAGCGTGCATAACTATTCACCCAGTCTCTTGGGGTATGTCTCTATAAGCTTGGCACATCTAGCCACTTGGATTTTTGCCCATTCTTCAAGGCAAAACTGCTCCAGCTCCTTCAAGTTGGATGGGTTCTGCTGGTGTACAGCAATCTTTAAGTCATACCACAGATTCTCAATTGGATTGAGGTCTGGGCTTTGACTAGGCCATTCCAAGACATTTAAATGTTTCCCCTTAAACCACTCAAGTGTTGCTTCAAGAATTTCCCTGTATTTAGCACCATCCATCATTCCTTCAATTCTGACCAGTTTCCCAGTCCCTGCCGGTGTAAAACTTCCCCACAGCATGATGCTGCACCAACATGCTTCACTGGGGGGGATGGTGTTCTCAGGGTGATGAGAGGTGTTGGGTTTGCGCCAAACATAGCGTTTTCCTTGATGGCCAAAAAGCTCAATTTCAGTCTCATCTGACCAGAGTACCTTCTTCCATATGCTTGGGTAGTCTCCCAAATGCCTTTTGGCGAACACCAAACGCTTATTTTTTTCTTTAAGCAATTGCTTTTTGTCTGGCCATTCTTCTGTAAAGCCCAGCTCTGTGGAGTGTATGGCTTAAAAAGTGGTCCTATGGACAGATACTCCAATCTCCGCTGTGGAGCTTTGCAGCTCCTTCAGGGTTATCTTTGGTCGCCTTGTTGCCTCTCTTATTAATTCCCTCCTTGCCTGGTCTGTGAGTTTTGGTGGGCGGCCCTCTCTTGGCAGGTTTGTTGTGGTGCCATATTCTTTCAATTTTTTAATAATGGATTTAATTGTGCTCCGTGGGATGTTCAAGGTTTCGGATATTTATACACATTAATCATTGATTACTACCAATACACAAACAGAGAGTGAGTTAGCTGTGTTTGTAACAGAGTGTTTGTAACAGTGTTTTCCAGATAAGGGTGGAATAGATGGCTACCAGATTGAGCTACTCTTATTTGCTAATGTAAGCTAACTTACGTTAGCTAATGTTAGTCAAAGATAGAATGAACAAACAAACATGTTTACTCTGCTGAAGGTACCAGTCTAGCAGTGACTACCATGGCATAGGCGAAATTGATTGACTGTGAATCAAAAAGATAGCTAGCTAGCTAGCTATATGAATTCAATACAGGACTGTAACGTTAGCTAGCTAATTTACTCAAATGTGCTGGTTGATAAAATACCTGTATGTTTGAAAAGGGTATTTTGTTTTAAATTATATTGTAAATTGGAATGAAAGAGTTATGTCTTTCATGGAGTTATCAGAGTTGTATGGGAAGGTCTGCTCAATCCAAGATTACAACCAACTGATTACAGCATTACCCCAAAAATGGAAGAGGCAGGTGGCAACGGGAGGAGGTAGGGAACTGGACTGTCTGCCCAATATAAAGGATCAAAACTGGCAGAGGAATAAAAATAGCATGAAATAGGAAAGTATACCAGTTTCATTTGAGGACCAGGATGTTGACAGCTTTGCCATACAGATTGCAAAATAGTTGAGATTTCTGATATACCGATTCCATGGTACAGGGTGTATGAGTTGATATATAAAACAACGCAAGATTCAAGACTGCTTGAGTGGCAGCTCTCGGGGAACAGCGGGGGGGATCTTGGAGGGCTGGTGGCCTGACAGTTTGGAGCTTGGGCCAGTGACTGATAGGTCGCTGGTTCGGGTCCCCGTTTTTGACCTTGTGGGAGATCTATTGACATGCCCTTGAGCAGGGCGTTGACCCTGGTTGCTTCTGTGGGTCACTCTGGATAGGAGTCTGTTAGATGACTGAATTACATTTACAGTACATTTTAGTCATTTAGCAGACACTCTTATAGTTAGTGAGTGCATACATTATTATAATATTTTTTTGTAATTTATTTCATACTGGCCCCCCGTGGGAATCAAACCCACAACCCTGGCGTTGCAAACAGCCATTCCCTCCCATACCCTGGGCCAATTGTGCGCCGCCCCATGGGTCTCCCGGTCGCGGCCGGCTACAACAGAGCCTGGATTCGAACAAGGATCTCTAGTGGCACAGCTAGCACTGCGATGCAGTGCCTTAGACCACTGCGCCACTCGGGAGACGTGTGAATGTAATGTAAATGTTGAGCGGCTTCACTGCAAGTAGATTGTATGTTTTAATATTCAATAATACAAAATTAAATAGTAAATTAAATAAAAAAACATACCAACTTTCCCACAGTAAAGTTTTTGAAATGCCATTATGCAGAATTTTTATTGTAGGTATGGGCACTCTCGAATGTCTTAATTATAGGTTACCCCAAATTTCTCTGTTTCCTATTTCTATCATGTAAAATATTAGCCACTATCAATATTGACCGTCAGTAGGCCTAACCACACATATTCAACTGCCAATTTACTGTTAGTTCCCTTCAGGCATGATGTCTAATTAAATCGTTTTGGAGTGGAGTGTAGACCAAGCCGTAACAGTTTGAACCCTACGCATGGTGCAATACTTGGCCTTGTCATCACACAGTTCCATGGTTAGTGCAGGCAATAGATGAGGGTATATCCTACTAGTGTACACTATTCTCCCTATTATAATTATATGTACACTAATCTTCTAACCAGGGGTTGGAACCGGTTCAGGGAACAGAACAGAAAACTGTAACAGAACGACATTTTCAGAGGAACAGAATCATAACCAGGAATGAAAGTGATCTATACTGTTGCAGAACAGGACCGTTATTTTAAAAGCATGGGAACCGGTTAATAGCGTTATTTTATATTCCAGTCCCACAAAAAATGCAACAAAGCACCTATACAAAGCCCTCACTCAGTCACTCATAAACTTATTCCAGTGTCTGCCTGCCAGCTGAAAATCTTTGCTATCCCTCCCCCTCCGAAGTATAGGCTACTGTAGCCTACTGACGTTACAAACGTGATTCAGATATTTGAGAGGTTTTTAATTAGAGAAGAATGGATTTACTTTTTCAATGCTAGTTAAGGAAACTATAGTTATCATGTTTCACATTGGATTTATTAACTACAAAAAAGTAAGACCTTTTTATTTTAATTCTGGTCCCGCTCTGCACACACAACCTTGTTAGCGCTGGTCCAACGTTAAGCCAACTCTCGGAAGTTCAAAGATATTCAAAGTTTCTTCATAGAAGCAGCTCCTCCGTAGGTATAATTATGTGGGCCAAATTCAGATAATGCTTGTCATAACAAGATGCCCAGCACTTCAAGCCAAGCCAAGCCTCCTCCTCCACCCTCTTGCTCTCTCCCCACCTGCAAAATTTCAGTTGCATCTCACGCCCTACACTTGTCTGTCCAATGCATGTAAACAACTATAGCTTGCACGCTACAGCAAGCTGCTCTAGCCACACTGATTGGTGAAGAAACAGAAAATAATTATATAAATCGTTCCATTTTTGGGGTTCAAACGGGTTCATAACTTTATTTTGCTGGTCAGAATGCGTAAAGTTTGAATATTCTTGCAACATCCTAGACAACTCCCATAACTTAATTAAATGTTCTAAGAACCTTTAAACCAGGTGTTTTGTCAACATTCTTACAACATTATAGGAATGTCCTGTGCAATCTAACTTAAACATTGTATGAATGTCATCACAACTGAATATATTTTGTAATGTACCCACATTGTTCCCACAACCAAATTAAATGTTCAGGAAATCTTTAAAGAACTCAGAAAGGCTGTTCTGTCAACATGCTTGCAACATCAAAGGACTGTTTTGTGCACCCTGATATAAACATTATCTGAATGTCAGCACAACTGCACAGTTTTAGTGTTTTGGGAACCTATCTCTTGTCATATCCCCATAATGTTCCCACAACCTAAAGAAACATTTTGGGAACCTTTAAATAACAGACTAAATGTGTTCTGGGAACGTTCTTGCTACATCAAATTGATGTTTTTTAAAAAATAAACATTGTAGAATTATCCACACAACTGGACAGTCTTTATTGGGAACATATATTTTGTGATGTTTCCACAATCTTCTCACCAGACTGTTCCCACAACCTAATAAAACATTCTGGGAAACTTTAAAGAACAGACAAAATGTGTTCTAGGAACGTTCACGCAACATCAGGTGAATGTTTTATACAAACATTCTATAATCATCAGCACAACTGGACAGTTTTTGTGTTATGAGAACATTTGCCGAGACCTAACAAATGTTCTGGGAACTTTCACAGAACCAGTTTTGGTTTGCTGGGATGGCACTATATTGTGTGATAAGAGAGTCTGTTAAATGGCCAACATTTTTATGTAAATGTAGAAATGAACACTTGCAAAGCATGCCTATTATTATTCTAATGAGCTTTGCCCTGAAACAAGGCCAATAAAGATTTGTACATTTACATTTGGGTCATTTAGCAGACGCTCTTATGCAGAGCGACTTACAGGTAGTGCATTCAACTAAGGTAGATAAAAAACTCAATCACAGTCATAGCAAGTAAAGCATTTCTGTAACAATTACTGACAACGTTGTTAACAGGGCTACTTGCTAAAATACATGTATTTTAATTGAATGCAATACTTTGCAAACGTATGTTGTCATTTATTTTGATATGTTGGTCTTTAGGGTATTTTGTAATTTTTGCACAATAAATATATTAATGTAATGTGTTCATATACTTTACATTCATTTCATATGTATTCTACTTTGTCATTGTCTGTCTTATGTCACGTTGTCCCCCGAAGTCTAAAGGTGAGAAGAAAAAAACTATTTTGGCATTATCACACATTTCCCACCATATGAAAAATATGAACAATGTCATGTCATGATTTTGCAGATTTAATAGATCCAATGTTCTTCTTACAGAGAATGTTGCTGAGGAAGACACTTCTGCTGAGCTCTCTGTTGGTGAGCTGCTGGCCAGAGCCAACAGCGATCTCAGTAAGTTGGCACTATGTTCAATGCTCAAGGATTAAAGAGCATTTTATGACTAGAGTAACCTGTTCTACGTGTTCTATTCTCAAGCCCCCGAAGCTGATGAGCCTACTCTGATGGGAGACATTGCCATGCCCTCTGAGAAGAACGCTGACCCCTGCACCGGCCGCGGGTGTATGTGGCAAAAGTACAGTGATGGAAGAATCTGGGTGCCCTATGTCATTGCCAACCACTTCTGTAAGTGTTCACTTTCGTGTACATTTAATTTCATATGTTGAGATATTGTACAAGCGATACAATAATTTGACTATCTCTTGTTCTTAATTTGATCTCTACAACAGCATCTCGCGAAGTAGCCATCATTCAGCGTGGTCTTGACTCCTTTGCCGAAACTACCTGCATCCGCTTCTTCCAGCGCCAGAATGAGAGGGACTATCTCAGCATTGAGAATCGCAGCGGGTGAGCCTGAATATAAATAACATAATTAAACAATTAGAATATTACATCAACACATAGTTTATTGAATTTCCCATTGAGGATCATCCATACAATAATTGTTTTTGCAAACCTGCCCGCTTCCTTTATCCTTCATGATTTACCTTTATCTTTCATTAGCCTGAAGTTTTCTGAACCTTATGCTGCGTTCGTAACAAAGTGGGAAGTGGAGACGACAAAACATTATTTATAAACAGCCATCTATTAATATGGTTTTTGAACACTATAATTAGTTTACAAGCATGATAGCTGTACTTTTAGTTTATGGTTTACACAAGTTGTTGGCCATTAGACAATCAGCGTTTCTCAACGAGTTCAAAGCCTGTAAATGCATCCAACTGGTATTCATGACTTCACAACTGGTAAATTACCACCTCCCACTTGGTTATGAACACAGCATTACTGAACTGACTACATACATCATTAGGATATTTTCTGCCATTGGATTTAATGTTCCGCCTTGATCCTCCGCTGCCCTATATCCTCAGCTCTAGAATTTCAATAACATCATTAAACAATTATGTCACATCAACACATAGTTAATTGAATTTCCCTTTGAGGATCATAATCCATTATCCTGAGGTTTCCTAAAACACTTACAATGAATTAGATGATTAGGGTAGGCCCTATTTCTGGCCTTGGATTGGTGCACCTTGACCCTCCTCTGCTCTTCTTCCCAGGTGCTACTCTTATGTTGGCCGTCAGGGTAATGCCCAGACTGTGTCTCTGGCCCGTCAGGGCTGCCTGTACCACAGCACCGTCCAGCATGAGCTCCTCCACGCCCTGGGCTTTAACCATGAGCAGACCCGCAGCGACCGTGACAACCACATCCGTGTCGCCTGGGAGAACATCATTGATGGTTTGATACCTTTATCCTGTTTCCCTTTCACTGACATGAATTTCTAATGATACGAAATGGAGTGCCTCTATCTCACTGATAATTCTAACAATAGACACTGGGTTTTTAAATGTGTGACTTCTTTGGGGTTGCATATAACTTGTCAGCACGCCTGCTTTTACTTTTTGTTTGTCCAGCTGTAACGTTAGTGTAATCTATAGACTCCACACTTGAGGCCTATAGATCAGTAGTTCCCAACCTTTTTTCTCTGGAGCCCCCCCCCTACTTGTATCTAAGAAAAGCTGAGCCTCCCCCCAAAAAAATTATAATAAAGTGATTCATTCCAAATCTTTATTGGCAAAAATGTACATCAATTATAGTTTTTATTTCCTTTTCTCTTTGGTTTGCCCTGGTTATCTTTGTGTATAATCAACTGTAGGCCTATACACACACATTGTTACCAAAATAATAATAATGATTCATTATCAGTGTAATAAGTGATTAACAGCACCTATATAGCTCTGTCCTAGATCTTCCTCAGACCAATTAACTGAAACGGGGCAGTTTGTTGCATACACACATGCACATCATGTGAACACTGGTTTTGACACAGCTATAATGTATGTGTTATAAAAATAACAATAAGTAACAATAACAAACAGTACGTTACAATCAATAACTTGTTCCTTCCTTAAAAAACGAATGGCCACCTTGGGCCTGCATACCTCTGACCAGGGATGGGATGTCAGGTGTGATGCTAGTGACAGCCAGCCTAAAGTCCTGGTGGACATCGAGCCTGTTAAGGGCATTTGTTTTTATTGTTACAAGCGCGCTGAAGGCCGTCACAGACAGGTATGTAGTGCTGAATGGTAGAATAACCCTTGTAGCTGCGTGTTTGGCCAGTCTGGGTGCAACAGCGTGTCCTTTGACAATCCAAAACATTTTGTATCCGTTCTCGTGGAAATATTTATTTGACATAGAATCGGCTTGAAGGACAGCAAGCTCATCTTCACAGCCGAGGTATTCCACATCCTCGAGACTGCAAATATAAGGTTCCATCACCCACGATTCCTTTGATAAGTATTCGTCAACATCGGCAAAACGGGATTTAATTTCCTCCCGAAGCATGTTCATGTTCCTGGTAAACTCAGTGCGTAAAGACGCAGGCACAGTGCCACCAGACTGTTTCATCAGCAGTGGAGACTGTTGTAGCTCCCCTTTTGACATTTTTCCAACTCTGTACTCCAGTTTCCGCACAAAAGCTCGGGAGAGTCTTTGCACTGCATGACGTTTGATTCAGGACCCTGCATCCGCTTGTTTGTCTCATTGTAGAGAGTGAATGTATCCGCTAGGTATGCCTTTTTGATCTAAAACGCATCAGTCAGCTGTTCGCACAGTCGTCGATTGTGATCTTGCAAGAATTCCTTAATTTTTTCATGCAGTTCCATAAAACGCACAAGCACTTGTCCACGTGACAACCAGCGTACCTCTGTGTGTAACAGCAGTGTTTGATGCGCTTCATCCTCACACAGCTGGGCAAACAGTCTCTTGTTAGTAGGGCGAGCCTTAATAAAGTTGACAACTTTAACAACAGTTACCAGGGTGTTACTAAGGTCTTCCGAAAGTTTTTTACTGGCCAATGCTTGGCGATGTAGCATGCAGTGGAAAATTGCGCACCCCGTGGCTTTTAAATCGGCTGTTAAATCCCTTGTTTTTGCCCATCAACGCTGCAGCCCCATCAGTGCAGCATGCAACAATATTCTCGTTGGTCAGATTGTTGGACGAGAGATATGAGTCCATAGCTATAAAAATATATTGGCCTGTTGTTGTTGTGGCTAGATTGGTAGACATAAGAATGTCTTGTTTCAAGTCATCACCATCAATATTTTGCACGGATTCGACTGACACTGTTGTTGTTTCATCCAACTGAAGGGAACATTCCTAAGCTTCTCGTGCAGCTGGTTTTAACAATCTCCAGCCATTTTATAAATTCTGTCTTTGACAGTGTTGTCAGAGAGTGGGACGGTTCTCACTGTATCCACCACCTGTGGGCCACACAGCCTCTCTACAATGTTCTTTTATTCATAAAATAGTGATGCTCTGACTGCAGGAAAAACAAGCTGCTAGCTGAAACGGATTGAGTGCGGGTCATTGATGTGCACAATTTTTTTCCGGGGAATTACTGCTTTTACGTTTCTCTGTCATTATTGTTATTTTTTAGATTGGCCTTGGCATTGCAAACATATGATTTTTAATAACATTTAAAAATGTATTAATTTTACAATTAAATTATAGTGGAAAATGTTATGCATGTTTGACCCCAAAGCAAATGAGATCACGCGCCCCCCCCTCCCCCCCGTGAACTCTGGCGCCCCCCTAAGGTGGGCGCGGACCCCAGGTTGGGAACCACTGCTGTTTTTGTATGGAGGTCAATGAGAGAGTGGCAAATTTGGTTAACTAAAAATGGATTGGCTTATTTGATCAAATATAAGTTTTGTAATGCTTAGGTTGTTACTAGTGTAATGATATAAGTAGGACACATGACATCCCGGCAACTTTGAGAAAAAACACTTTATATCAGAGTTGTCCCTGTTGTCACACTTGTATCTGCCGTCTCATTGGCTAGAATGGCAGCCTGGGTCTCATACACTAGACATAACATAGTAAATGTAAATCCGGGACACTCACATTAGTATGATATGTTATGTTTGGTATGGTTACATAAGACAGAAGGTTACTTAAGGCAAAAAGAAAGGAGGGTGTATAACGCGAATGTCTAGCAACCCAAAGGTTGCGTGTTTGAATCTCATCACGAACAACTTTAGCATTTTAGCTAATTAGCACATTTTCAACTACTTACTTATTTTTAGCTAATTTGCAACTACTTAGCATGTTAGCTAACCCTTCCCCTAACCTTAACCCTTTCAGCTAACCCTTTTCTTAACCTTAACCCTTTAATCTAACTCCTAAACTTAACCGTAACCCCTAGCCTAGCTAGAGTGGCCAATGGAGTAGCCTATCTGGTCAATATAATGGATAATCTGTGGGGAGGCGTGCCCTGCTGAAATCGAACCATAATCTGCATCTCTTTTCCATCTCTTTTCCATAAAATATATGTTTGAATTGTCAAACTAGTTTTCATTGGGAATGCAGATCTTGGGGTCTATTCAATCTGTATAGATGAAGCACTATAGATTGCATGATAGAAATGTCAAGGTCATTTCCGATTGAGCCGACATATGCAGCGTTTACCATGAATCCAGTCTCCGCTAACACAGGAATATTGCCTTTACATTTCAATTATGCTGTAATGCCGAACTTCCGCAATATGGACTGAATAAAGCCCAAAACGTTTGTACCAAAAGCAATCACATTTGCATGTTAAAACAAAGAATCCTACATTACTCCACATGCTTAACATACTTCACTTTTGATTTGCGCCCAATTCGCCGTTGGCCAGAGCGGAGGCAGCCCGTTTCCAAATGAATGCAATCACTTTGCACCCGGGCCATCTTAATCGAATCCCCTTACTGACCTTGCTCATGAAGTAGATTGAAACACAGCCTATCAACTCTGTGAACATTTTGTCTTATGTTTTCCAGAGTATAAGTACGCATTCGACAAGATCGCCACCCTGAACCAGGGAACTTCCTATGACTACAACTCTGTCATGCAGTACCACAGGTCAGCTATGATGTCTTTATAATCATTACAAATATTTCTGGAGTGGACCCTTATTGTATTGTAAGTGCTATTACTCCATCCATTCCTCAGTGAGCTTTCATTCAGGCCAAGCTATACTGTACCTTCATTAGTGACATTGTTGAGTAGACCTGAATATTGATGTATTGTGATTTGGTGTGGTTACAGGTACGCCTTCTCCAAGAACAACCGCCCCACCATGGTGCCTTTCCCAGACAGTAACGTGTCTTTCGGCGAAGCCACTCAGATGAGCAAGAACGACATCGACAGGCTGAACAGGCTGTATGGCTGCTGTGAGTACTGCCACACTGAACAATTTACAGTACTTGGGTTTGGATGATTCAATCTAGGCCAAGGCTGCTCTTCCCAAGAGCTAATATAGCTGTAATATATCTAGAGCTTAATAACTGTGAGAACTGTGACATTGAGGGTGGGAGAATATATCACAATGGACATAGCTTTATGTGTAGGATTAAATAATCACACATTTTCTCTCCCCAATAGAAACAGTTGGATACCTGTGGTCTCACTTCCGATGGACTCAAGATCATTCCGCTGAAGGAGTAGAGTGACCTCTAGTGGTAGAACTATTAGAATGTAATTTGCCTCAAAACATCAAGGCTGCAACCTCTAATAATCACAATAAATATATGATCAACTGAAATCAAAAGCTTAATCTGTGTCCATACAACATGCTTTACCCAACATAAGTATTCTAATGCTTTGAACAAGTATTACAGCAATTTTAATTAAAAAAAAAATGTTTTGTCATTTAGCAGACGCTCTTATCCAGAGCGATTTACAGTTAGTGAGTGCATATATTATTTTTATTTTTCATACTGGCCCCCCGTGGGAATCGAACCCACAACCCTGGCGTTGCAAACGCCATGCTCTACCAACTGAGCTACATCCCTGCCGGCCATTCCCTCCCCTACCCTGGATGACGCTGGGCCAATTGTGCGCCGCCCCACAGGTCTCCCGGTCACGGCCAGCTACGACAGAGCCTCTATGGAACATCTTGACAGTAACCCCAAACAAACATTTGTGGGTTTGTTGGATTTGGAATGGCATGACTACAATCATAAACAAATCCTTTTTGTGTTTACTTCAACATTAAATCATTAGAAATCTATTTTTACCAGCTTGAGGGAAACAGACTTATTTTGAACAAAGTTTAACTAATCTCAACAGTGGATACATCAATATCAAATTTGAATGCACATTATCTATACAATTTTATAATATCCATAGTTCAATAAAGTTTCTCCCAAATTCCTTTACAGTACGTAGTAGGAATGTATGTACCCAGAGTGCACTGGGCTACTCTCCATAAAATTATACTGGTCCATGAGTATACTGGTATACCAATATTGCCAACAAAGTGTGGTGATTTACTGAATCTTATAAAAGCACCAAACTCATTGTGAAAGCAATGAATAAATAATCCATTGAGTAAACAACAAAATAACAAAGGCCTAAGAAAAGATGATCGTCACACTTTCACTGTCCACCATTGGCTTTAAGTTTTTCAAGTTCTGTCTGTATCAGATCAGCAGTGTAGTTCTGATCACAGGAACGAAGGGCCTTTATCAAAGTGTCTGTTTTGGCCTCAGCTTTGTGCATTTTCCGCCATTCCTTCAAAAGCTCCACCACTTGCTCCTCCAGGTCATTAGGGTGCTTCTGTGAGATATGGTCCAGTTTGGCCTCTGGCAAGCCAAGTTTACGGCCATATGCTCGCCACTTCCTTCCAAGGTTGTCAATGATCACTTTCGTTGCAATGTCAAGTTTTGCTGGGAAAAGAGAAGATGGAATGTAAATAAGTCCCCTACAAAAGTCATATTTCCAACACACTGCACTATATACAGTAGGCTATACATTCTCTGAGGCATACAGTTGGATTTCATGTTTTATATTTTCCCTCAGAGGAAATATTATATTTACATTGGCAAATATTTACTGTATGGGAGATCATGTCAGAAAGATAGCAATCATGTCAGAAAGATAGTGACAATGTAGCCTAATATCTTTCATAGCAGTTGTGACAGGGTTCCCCAAATAACATGAAGCGATGATCTCTGATACATTCTTACATACATTCAACAAAACATAGGGCACTTCCCTCTGTAGAATGACTAAGCAACACCTCCCCTTTAACTGTTGAAACAGGCGTCACAGCCCCCCCCCAAAATGGCCTATACTATGGTATCAACATTTTGCCATCAATATTCAGGAGTGGGGATAACCACTTAATTTACCTTGCTCATCGTTAGGAAGATAATTCGGTGACCCAGCATACTGACTTTCACAGTTGGTAATTTTGTCCGCAAGATCTATGCGACCAATGTCTGTCAAAAGCGAAACTAGAAATACTGTGTTCTCAGGTCCAAGTTTATTTCTTTCCATTAGGACCATGAAAAGTTGAAAGCCACTGGTAATCTTCTCGAGACGATTTTTTCCTATTTCTTTGAGACAAAGGAACTTCATTTTCTCCAATTGATCAACAACAAGTTCACCTGAAATCTTCAGCAAAACGCTGTTAAACGCGCTCATCTTGGCTGTAGTGTACCAAGGAACTACCAACACATACGCGACAGCTCTTCTTCTTTGGGATTTGGTTGGCGGATCGCATCCAACTTTTAAGGTGCATATACCGCCACCTACTGTACTGGAGTATGAGGCCAGGCACGGCCAAACTACATTAAATTATCTTCGTTAGTCCTATTCTTCTAAGAAAGTGAAATAGATCCCTAGACACCACTTCCCTCCTCTTTCCTCCCCCCACTACACCACCCAAACCCCATCCTGCTTCTCTAACCCTTTAACACAATCTCTCCCTATCTACTTCATACAATTCACAAAATAATCAACACATGCTCCACCGTTTCCTCCACTAAACACTCATCACACAGACCTGTTTCATGTCTCCAGATCATCCACAATGTGGCATTCAAACCTGTATGCCCAAACCATAGTCTACTCCACACAACTTCCTCTCTCCTACATCCCATACTCCCCACCTCTTCCTTTACTGACCGATGCATGCAATAAAATTGCCTCCCCTTAGTAATGGCATCCCACTATCTTTGCCAAGGATCGAGCCCTTTTACCCGGATCAAGGACTTGACTTCCCTTGACTTCCCTGCGGCCCAGCGGGACTATCTCTCTCTTCACAGCACTCTTAGCCACCACATCGGCCTTCTCATTACCCTCGACACCCACATGGGTGGGAACCCAACAAAAGATGACCACCACTCCCATCCTCTCCAATCCCATTAACAGCACCATCATCTCCCCTATTCGACTTGCCCGTCTTCACACTACTCAACACTGCAGTCGAATCAGAGCAGATTACCACTGCAAGGTTTCACCTCCTCCACCCATCTCAAACCTATAAACATGGCCATCATCTATGCCCTATACACTGACACAATCAGTTAACCGCTGACATACTCCAACATTAAAATCTGGGATATACATCCCAGCCACTGACTGGATCCTTTGAAACATTTGTATATGTCCTTAAAAATGAATAAAACAGATTATTTCTATATCTCTCCACAGACCTTCTCGCGTCCTCACCCCATTCTCTCCTAGCCTCAGTCATGTCTACATCTACACTACCGTTCGAAAGTTTGGGGTCACTTAGAAATATCCTTGTTTTCAAAAGAAAAGCAATTTTTTGGTCCATTAAAATAACATCAAATTGATCAGAAATACAGTGTAGACATTGTTAATGTTGTAAATGGCTATTGTAGCTGGAAACAGCTGATTTGTAATGGAATATCTACATAGGCGTACAGAGGCCCATTATCAGCAACCATCAGTCCTGTGTTCCAATGGCACGTTGTGTTTGCTAATCCAAGTTTAACATTTTAAAAGGCTAATTGATCATTAGAAAACCCTTTTGCAATTATGTTAGCACAGCTGAAAACTGTTGTGGTGATTAAAGAAGCAATAAAACTGGCCTTCTTGTTGAGTATCTAGAGCATCAGCAATTGTGGGTTCGATTACAGGCTCAAATAGCCAGAAACAATAACTTTCTCTGAAACTCTCAGTCAAAACTTTCATGAAAGAGCATTCCA